GGGCCCGGGCTGGGGATTCGAACCCGCCACCTTAGGTGTATGTGGCTGGTGCCTTAGCTGCTTGAGCCACAGGCGCCGAGCCTGATTGTACATTTCTACCCTGTAATATTATGAGGCTGTTCAGAGTATTCATGTAAAATCTATTGAGTTGCAAAATAATAAATAGAATTCTCTCAGTTTCTAAGCATTTCCTCTCTTCATATAGGAATATATATGTTTGACATGGGTTTGAATATCACAGAGACAGGTGTGGAGAAAGACTGGCCAGACTATGGACATTCCCAACTGGGAAGCAAGGCCGGGGCAGGTGGGGAGTGAGGTGAGAGGGAAGGGTGCAGAGCATGGGGAAAGGACATGAATTTTTTTCTTTACATATGTTTACATTATTTCTCTACTCATAGTAAATGTGTCACTTTTATGATTTTTCAAGAGTGATTTAAGTACTTTTTTTTTTTTAAAAGAAACAACAAATTCAGAGATGGATGCTATTACAAACTTGACTGAAACTGTACAACTATACAAAAGTAATGCATGAAACCAGAACCTTTGTTCCCCTGTGACATCCTGAATTAAAATAAATAAATTCAAAAAAACAAACAAAACCAAATTCACCACCTAGAGAGGTTGCATGTGTGTTTATGTGTGTGTGTCTGGGGGGAGGGTGTGGGATCCTAGCTAACTGTGCTTTTCTGTACTTTCCCCAGGCCCTTTAATGAGGCAGGAAGCTCACACTGAGGATGCAGCATTGTAACTTAGGGAAGCTTGGGTTGCCAGGGAGTTGGAAAAGTAATGCCAGAGCAGGAACAGCCTGGGAGGTAGAAATAGATAAGGACAGAGCATAATACAGGGACCCAGAAAAGAAGGTGATTCAGAGAGGCTCCTGAAGGGAGCAGATGCCCCCAGGCCTGAAGGGGCAAGGGGGGCTGGGGTCACTGGAACCAGAGAGGGGGGATTAGCAGTAGGGGACATCTGGCAGGGACAGCAGAGAGGAAGCTATGGCCTCACTCTTCTTTGTCTTCCTGTAACCCTCTCTAACTGACCCAAGCAGAAGGCAGAGTGTACGGAAGCCCGGCAGGTAGCTGTGCAGACATGGACAGCCCTCCAGGAGCACAAAGAAGAGAGGAGAAAGGATCTGGGTGGGCACAGCAGAGAGCAGATGATGCAGATGAATTGAGCCATCATACCCTTTTGAGGAAGCTTCTTTGGTAGAGTCATCAGTCTATGAGTTAGATAGAGGCTGGAAATGAGTAGGTGGTGAGGAAGGGGAAGTGGTTGGCTACAGTGTATCCCCCAACTTATTAGTAAATGAATGTAGAAAGAA